ATTTTGTTTTCTGTTATTATCTTGTTTTTTGATGGGCAATAAACTTATTATTATTGATTTTTGAAAATAAACTTATTACTAAATTGTAGATCATGCAAAAAAGTAACTTTCAGATATAAATAGAAAAACAACCTCTCGAAACTTCTACTTTCATATTAACACTGAACAAAAGAAAAAGTACTTTCGAAACGACTACTTTTGCCTTGAATTATACAAAAAATACTTTTTCCGATTCAGTTTGTACTGCAAACATTCGCTATATAATTGAAACAGATATCATTCATGGGATTGCTACACATGTAAATGAGGTAAAATTGCACTTACATGGAACACTGTCATTGTCAATAGCAGACTTATATGTTTCGGAATAAGACAATTGTCTTATTCTTGTTTAAATTGGAAGGGGTATATTTTTAGCATAGATACAAAAAAATGTGGGAATCTTTCAATGAAAGGAAGAAGGCATTTTGTTTCAGAATAAACTCTTTATTATAAAGATGTGTAGATCATGCGAAGAGATTACTTTCATATAAACATTGAATTACACTTGAATTATACAAAGAACAATTTTTCCTATTAAGTTTGTATTCCCCACTTTCGTTATGGAATTAATCAGAGTTTAATCTGAAATTAATATGAAAGTTTCTTGCATTTTTTGTAGGTAGCCAAAACCTTTCGTTCGCAGAAAATTATTGTTCGACTCCAGAACGTAGATATCCATTAATTACCAGACATGTCAATGGTGGGACTTTTTTTATTAAATTTTTCGTTTTGAAGATGTTTTATTTTGATATTGAGAATCTTCAATAGTTTTTGGGATACTGGCAAAAAAACGAAGCCCTCTTTGGGTGTTCAACTGTTCTATTTCTGAAACTTTTGTGTCACTTTTTGTCTCGCACCCCGTAACTTTTACTGTTAGTTTGTTGTATCTCAGGTTTGCCTTGGTCTCTTACTTTTTGCATCTTTTAAATGTGATATCTCGTGGGCAAATTGAGAAATTTGTTGTTTTCAATAGTAAAACAAAATTAAAAAAAAATTAATACAGTTTATTGAATGATTTTCACTATAAAGTAAGTAAGTTAATTTATTCAATTCATTAATAAAACAAAATACACAGTCGTGTTTTACAAAAACCGCGACACGTGTTTCGCTATACAATAGCTTTCTCTAGGGTAAACTAAAAGTTACTTCTAAATTACAATCATTTTATACTCTAACATATTACCTACTGTATGCCTACTTTCTAATAAATGAATCTACTTGAAAAGGTCAGGTATGAATTAACTAACTATATGAATACATTTTTCGAATTTTTACCTGGAAATGAACAGATTCAATAATGGCGAATTATTCAATTCAGTTTGATCGTTTATAAGATATTGAGAGTTTTTGAATTTGTTTATTTCCATACTCTCAAACAAGTTGAGTTTCAAACCTTTCTTCTGGAAATGGAAGGGCTTGTATTCATGGTTTAACTCATGTCCCTCTGTGATTAAATAAGTGACATATGTGGAATTTATTTTTCCATTCTGGAAATTATTTTTGTGTTTCTTTATGCGAGCTTTGAACGTTCTTCCAGTTTGACCTACATAAAACATTGGACATGACCCACATGATAATTTATACACTCCCGATTTTTCTGAAACTGAATTTTTATCTTAGTTATTCTTAATGTGCATGCCTAAGTTGTTGTTGGTAACTAATAATATTGCCCGTTTTTGAAGAAAGAATG